CTGCACCCATGGTATCTCTAGAGCATAGTTATGTACGCGAAGTACTGGCGTCGCCTTTTTGCGAGGGTTGGGGTTGGGGCCGCATTGCTACGCCTGCTCGGATCGTGTCAAGCGGTCTTGTTGTAGGTTACTCCGGGCGCGCTTGACGGTGTCCGGCCGTTTAGTGGCTGGACTGGAGAACTGCCTGGAGAGGCTGCTTTGTACTTCCGCTGCAAGGGCCGCCGTGTGCTCCTCCATTCGTAGGGAGCGTTCGGTGTTTCCATTGACCATAATTACTCCTCGAGGGCCCGGCATCTTGAGCTTAAGGTATGCGTAGTGCGGTACCGCATTAAACTTGGCGAATGCGGTTCGCCCGAGCAGTGCGTGATAACCACTGCGGAACGGGACTATGTCGAAGATTAACTCCTCACTTCGGAAATTATCCGGAGATCCGAAGACCACTTCAAGTGTGACTGAGCCTGTACAGTTGGCCTCTACACCTGGTATTACGCCTTTAAAGGTCGTTGAGGGAGTCCTGGATTAGGGGGTGTCCGGACAGCCGGACTATATCCTTTGGCCGGACTGTTGGACTGTGAAGATACAAGATTGAAGACTCCGTCTCGTGTCCGGAAGGGACTTTCCTTGGCGTGGAAGGCAAGCTTGGTGATACGGATATGCAGATCTCCTACCATTGTAACCGACCTTGTGTAACCCTAACCCTCTCCGGTGTCTATATAAACCAGAGGGTTTTAGTCCGTAGGACAACATACACAACAACAATCATACCATAGGCTAGCTTCTAGGGTTTAGCCTCTCCGATCTCGTGGTAGATCTACTCTTGTACAACCTATATCATCAATATTAATCAAGCAGGACGTTGGGTTTTACCTCCATCGAGAGGGCCCGAACCTGGGTAAAACTTCGTGCCCCTTGCCTCCTGTTACCATCCGACCTAGACGCATAGTTCGGGACCCCCTACCCGAGATCCGCCGGTTTTGACACCGACATTGGTGCTTTCATTGAGAGTTCCTCTGTGTCGTCGCCATCAGGAAGGATGCCTCACCCCGTCTTTAAAGACAGCACCGTTGCTAAGGGAGCTTTGGCTGTCGGCCAAACCCTCTGGCTAGGTGGTTTTCTTATGACCGTCTGTTCGCCTTCTGCACCAACAATGACCTCTCGAGCCATCGAAAACAATCTTCATGTCATCTCAGAACTCGTCGAGCAATTAGATCCAATGGAGCTTTCCTCCATAAACGAGCTCTTGGATCGCTTCGCCGCCCTGGGAGTCACTACCGATTATGACCAGATTGGGCCTAAAACCGATCTGAGAGAGATTAACTCTCCCCAAGTCACCCATCATGTTCCCGTGGTAGAGGGACAATGCGGCGACCCTTCATCTATCTTAAGGACTCTCTACGTCCGGATTCCCGATCCCTCCAAGCCGGATACCCGCGGAGGGGAGGATATCACTCAAGACCTGAACTTAGAGTCAGGCGACGGGCTGGATTCATTAGACAACATCCAGAAATCCAAATTTTTGAGTTCGAAAATTCCTCGGCCTCTAAGCCTTAGATGGGGTGAGGCTTCGGATTTAATTCCACCCACCCACCCCAACATAAGCGATCTATCCAAAATCAGGCAAGAACCCGATGAAACAGTACATCATTACTGGGCCAGATTCCTCCTGGTTAAGAACAGGCTAAGGGACTGCCGCGAGGAAGACGCAATCTCAATCTTCTGCAATAATTGCACGGATAAGGGAATACTCAACGCCATAAGTCGCCATGATATTACACGCTTCGCTGACTTGGCGTCCATTGTACGAAAGTACTGTGCGATGGAAAGCGCCTGGAAAACCGAAATAAAATTTTGGGACAATCCGGCCATGAATACAAACCCAGTCCGAAATAAAAGGGTGCATCTTCACCAGTCACCCGGGTCAAGCACTAAAAAGCAAAAACCCTCTACAGGGCATGGAACCGTACTGGAAGGATGGCTTAATGGACCCTGTAAAATTCATAGTACAGAGGACGCCACACCAACTCACAGCCTCAGAGCATGTTGGATACTCCGGCAGGTGGCCAAAATTGGCGAAAATCTCCTAATTCCGGAGGCCACAGAAAGCCACCCCAGAGACACCAATACGGTATTAACAGTCTTCGAGACTTTCGCATCAAATAATATGCGAAAAAGGACACTCTGCAGCCTTGCCGAAGTCTACCAAGCAGCAACAATAAACCCATGGACTGACACGGCTATTACCTTTAACGCCAGTGATGAACCTAAATTCCGAACAGCCCGAGCACCAACCGCATTGGTCCTCAGTCCAATAGTGGACGGCTTTCGTCTTACCAAGGTACTCATGGACGGCAGCAGCGGATTGAACCTCATTTATGAGGAGACCCTTCAAAAAATGGAAATATATTGGAACCTCATTGAGCGAAGCAGCACAACCTTTAGAGGAATAATCCCTAGTTGGGAAGCGCGTTGTACAGGAAAAATCACACTAGATGTGGTGTTCGGCACGTCGGATAATTATAGGTCCGAAGAGGTCACGTTCCAGGTGGCTCCGTTCAGCAGCGGTTATCATGCTCTGCTAGGGCGGGAAGCGTTTACAATCTTCTAAGCAATACCCCATTATGGGTACATGAAGCTCAAGATGCCCGGGCCTAACAGGATCACCACTCTCGCTAGTGATCCGGACATAGCACTCCGCGCCGAAAACAAGACAGCCGCACTGGCCCTCGAGGCACTATCCGAAGCCCTAGCGGCTGAGGAGCTGACTGCGCTGCGCTCTACGGTGAATAGGGACGATGTGGTAGTCGACAAAAGATCCAAGTCCACCTCCTTTAAACCGGCGGACGAAATAGTCAAATTCCAAGTCCATCCAATGGACCCCAATAAAACAGCTTCCATCGGGGCACAGTTAAACCCTGATGTCGACGCTGCACATTATAGTCGGTATTTATCCTATGTGGCACTGCTAAGATAGCACCGTTGTACATGCCCTAACCAAAGCCGTAGAGGGGTGAGAGATTATATATTTTTAGTTTTATTTTCCTCAGGATGGTTTCCCACATATAAACGGCATATGCATACAAGGGCAAAAACGTATCAGAAATGTCTCGTAGACGATCAAAATCTTTGGTTGGACAAAAAACAACACGGAAGGACATATCTGTAAGGTGACTTGATGGAGGATGGGCAAATTTCAGCAGTCTCAAACATTAGGGGTAAATGTGAGTAATGAGTTCAAGTTAGGGGAATAAATGGAATTTCCACTATAATGGCGGCGGTGCCAGATGGGGCATGTCGCCGACCATCGATGCTAGACGGAGGTAGTTGAGCCTCTATGCTAGCTCGGCTGCGCCGCGACCGCGCGGTGGCTGACGAGTGATGCCACGACGCCTTGCGAGCGCTCTGCCACTAGAATGATGACAACTTGGATGGCCGCGATGACGATGCGGTCGACGCCAGAGGTGTCATTGGCCTCGGAGACCATGCCTACGGGGTCACATCCGGTACCTCGCCTAGTAAAGTTTAGGTTTAGTTTAAATGTTTCTTGTTCTTTTTTTTGACGAATTTTGCTTGATTTAGTTGGGACTTTATGAAATTTTGTCGTTTGATTGTAATATATCAAAATTTAACCAACATGGTCCGGTTAGCATGATTTTCTTCTTCTTTTTTTTTGAAAGACCTGTTTGAAATGGGTCAGACATTTGGTGCGTGCAGTTAGATGGCCTCTCGCCCCATTGCTGCCCATGGATATTTGTTGATGTCTGTTTTGATGACCTGTGTTGGAGTCACCCCAAGCTCTTCATTTACAGGATAAAATATCTATATTTGGTAGCAATCATGTTTTTTGTGGGAATAGGGTGGCCAAACCTTAATTAAGCAAAGATTCTGTTGGGCGGACTGAATCATGCAGCCATATACCTACCGCCGTGTTTTCTAGTTCTAGTTGTGAAGATTGTAAATATCTAACCCTTATCAGTAACTAGCTCGCTGTACTTTGACTATAATCATGTTAATTATAGGTCAATCTAAAATGAACGGAACCAACAACAATGTCTCGTCATTTTTCCACCTTGGAGCGCGCTTTTAATTAATGAGCTATGTCAATCTCCATCAAACTTGGTATATATGGATGAATCCAAAGATGTCCCTGCAAAAACAATGTAATATTATCACTCTGCATGCTAAGCAATACTATATGAAGTTTTCTCAAGAGAAACTTAGACATGCATGGTGCTTTTTAGAACCTCTAGCGGATCATGCATGCGGAAATGCATGGTACACGCGTACATGCATCATGCATGGGATCTTTGTAGAACAGGGCCGCCCGATGATGTGGACATTTAAGATGGTCGATCAATATTGCCCACTGGAATTTTGCTCATGTGTGTTTGTGGGTGTAGTTGTGTGCGCGTGCGCCGATTCTGTCCAGCATCTTCTGAAGGAGCAATTTGTATTCGAGTGTCCATAAGCATACTTAGTGTTGGAATTATCGGCCTTCCGTGTCATATTTCACACCCCAAACGCGTGCTTTCCAACACTAGTGAAATATTGCGAACTACTCCGTACTAATTAGTATCGAGGATGCTGAACAAGGATATTTTGGTGAATTACAAGAGATATTTAGGGAAGCTAGCTGCCAATTCCCACGTCACTTCTTCGATCAGTCGGCTAGACATCTTAGTTAAGCAAGATTAGCTCCATGCATCTATGGTCGATCCGGACAATTTCATGCAGGCATGAAACCTGCCTTGCCTCCGTACGCACGGTACAGATTAGTCAGGGACAGTTTTTCTTTTGACAAGATTAGTCAGGGACAGTTAATTAAGCATATCAAGCTGTGTATTTGGACATTAGCTAGGCAGATACTGGTATAAGTAGGAGGACCGGCTAGCTCCCAGTTCAGTGAGTCCACAGCTGATCGAATCAGGTCAAAAGAACAAAGCACTTTGTGTCCAGAAAAAGAAGAAGCAAAAACAAACTTAGTTTACAGGTAGCTAACCGACATGAGCAGCCTGGAAGAAGCACTGCTGCAGAAGCCGCCCCCGTCGGTGGTTGTGTGCCACCACGCCGCCGCGGCCTGCCACCATGAGGGGTGCCCCGGGTGCGCCATGGACCGGAGGAAGGAGAGCCTCCGCGGGAGGATCCCTTACAAGGAGCTTTTCTTCGTCGCTGCCACCACTCTCGCTGGATGTAAACTTCTATCTATCCATTTAACTGTCTATTTATTTGCCCACCTGAATAAACCAACAACACTATCATGTCTGCAACACCACATCCGCCTCATTGGTCTAAAATTGCCTTCCCTGAGATAAGGAGTAACATGTAGCCTGAGCTACAGAAAACCACACTCATTTCTTTTCTTTGCGCAAAGTTTTTTTGTAGCTCAGGCTACATGAAACCCCTTTTTGAAAACCACACTCATTTCTTTGATCGAGCTTATCATGTCCATGAGAAATTGTATGTAGGGACATGCATCAATGAAAAAGGAAACAACCAGCAACTCGAGCAGCACACGTTGGTACTTGGTTGTTGTCATGCTTATGTATTCTACTACTACATACATTTGTTTCCATATGCCGCATTATTTAGTTCCGCTCAAACCTATTTTTTTAAGGGGCGCTTTATATTACTTAAAAGATTTAAGTCAAACCTAATTAATATACTTCACTTTTATCTTTTATTTATCATTGTTTTGATAACATGCTTTTGGCTTCGTCCTTTTCAGCTCTACCAATCACATGCCTCTACCCCTTCATGTATTTCATGGTATGTATTTCCCTGAAAAATATAGTACATTAGTGAGGAAAACTTTGTGAATCTTAAAAGATTACTAGTCGAGGCTAATGAAGAAGCGGAATTAAAGTTAAGTTTGGATATATTTACTTCAATTGCTCATTTTTCAGGTCAGTAAAAAATTAATCCACACCAAATAATCGCTCTGCTTTTAAATTCATAATAGAGCGAATTGCAGTTTTTGCCCCCACTTTGTTTTTTTTTAACGCTAGTTACCCCATGTAACAGTTTTCATTTGGATTGCCTCATTTAGTAAAAGTTTTGCCAGATTTTACTTCTTTTAATTTTTACCAGAGCGCTCTAGCTAGCAGGTGATTTAGGACAGATCAATTTCTAAACTGCTATTTGAATGGTGAGTAATTAACCTCAACAATTAAATCAAATCACACAGAATCCATGCATAGTTCTGGACCTGTGCCGTTGAAAAACGTTATTGGCACAAACATAAGTAAGATAAGCAATAATAATTACTTGAGGAAGTACATGCTAGTATTACTTTGTGACATTGACCTGCTAACACACAAATCCATGAACTATATTTTTATGCCATGATATTCCATTTTATTTGTAGAAGTACTGAACTGCTGGCCACTAGGAAGACCACTTCCACACCCTGTAATTTCAAAGTAACTTTTGTTGAAAAATCGAATAATATCACTTCCATTTAGAAAACACATATCTGGGTAGGTTTGTATAATAAGCCAGAAGGTTTCGAAATGTTGACTTTGCATATCCTGACATTGGCGGCATCTGAAAACAGCAGAGATGAAGTATCTTTTTTTTTTGCAAAGAGAGATGAAGTATCTTACTAGTCGCACTAAGCAGGGCATTTTTCATTTCTGATTGTGCCAACAAACTGAACCGCGCCGTGCCACACCATGTTGTACCTAATATCCGGGACCTACCTGGCAGATTGCTCCCAAAAAAAATTATAAGGGGTAAAAAGTGGCAAAACTTCTCTAAATGGGGTAATCGGAATGAAAAGATATTGAATGGGGTAACTAGCGTAAAAATGCCAAAGTAGGGGGTAAAAACTGAATTTACTCTTCATAATAAAATCGTAAAAGAACTGCAAAAAAGTATGGGTAATTATTCATTTATCTATAGGAGATAAAGGTCGCAACTTTGCTTCATAGAAGTAACGCAACATCTCAGGATCTCAGTTGCTTCATGCAAGTAACACGTCATCTCCCTACTGTATTCCTTTCTACAGGTTAGAGACTTCAACATTGCTAAAAGAGAGGAAGATATTGGATCCTATGCTGGTTTTCTTGGTACGGCTCTGTTAAAAAATAACTCATCAGCATTTAGCTATTAATTTTCAGAGGTTGTGTCATGCCACACATATTTAGACACATTTATTGGTCTTATCAAATGCAGCTGCTTCATACATGATTGGAAGAGCCATTACCTCGATATTTTGGGGTATTGCCGCAGATCGTCTCGGACGAAAGCCTGTAATTGCATTTTCAATGCTATCTGTGTAAGTGTGATATGGATTCTAATTCCACTCAGCAGCAGTTCTTGTGTGCAAGTGTATAATAATTCAGTAGTCACTTAGCCGTGTCACTTGTATATTGCAGGGTCATACTTCAGATATTCTTCGGGCTAAGTACAAAATATTGGATGGCGATTGCTGCAAGACTTCTTCTAGGTTCTCTAAATGGATTACTTGGACCAATTAAGGTACTTGACATGTAGCAGTTTCATTCAACATGCAGATCTAGGCCTCACAATTGTGATCTATATGTTGGGTATGTGATAACATAAACTTTACTATCCATTGTAGGCTTATGCCATTGAAGTTTGTCAAACTGAACACCAAGCTCTTGGCATCTCAGTTGTAATTTTCTTGAGCACCATAATCCTCTCGGTGCAATGATTAGAGTAATGTAATATTCTTTAATTGTTCTTTGAAAAAAAATTACAGGTGAATACCATGTGGGGTTTGGGTGTTGTTATTGGTCCAGGACTTGGTGGTTACCTTGCCCAGGTAATTAATAGACCATTATACTTGTGTGATCGAAATGAAGCATTATACAATCTTATAATTTAGTTGACATTATAATATAACTAAAATAGTTTCAACTCTTGGATCAACCCACATAGTACTCTTTTTGCTACTTATGTTGGGCTGAACATGTTATTCATGTGTACAATTGCTAGTTCAACAAAAATAAAGAGATGAGCTGCTTCCATTTCCTAATTTCTTTATCCTCCTTTTGTCAGCCTGCTGAAAAATATCCACAGACCTTTTCCAAGGAGTCAGTTTTCGGGAGGTAGATCCTTCAAGGACAAGATATATTTCATTTTCCATTCTGCTTGGAACTACTTCATGACTCATTGCTTTAATTGAATTTGCAGGTTCCCATATCTGTTACCTTGTCTCGTTGTGTCAATCTTTGCTGCCGTTGTTCTAATAAGTTGTATATGGCTTCCGGTATGTACAGAAGCACTATCATGCCACTTCTGAACTTCATTCTAGGCATATGTTTTTGTGGAAATAGGCATTAGTTTTTTGCACATTAAATTGCTAATACGAAAATACCCTGCCTATGCTATATACAACTTCATCATAGAAGTATGTTTCAATAAGTTTAGATATCTTCTAATGTTCCCAATTGCCGGGGTAATCCTCCTTTTTGAAGAAAAAAACTTCTAATGTTTCCATTAATATGGTTACTCAAATGTTAACAGGAGACTATACATAAACATAAGATTACTGAAAAGGATATCAGCATAGTCAAAGCCTTGCCATCGCAACAGGCTCATTGGGATATGCCTCGTAAGAAGAGTTTGCTTCAGAACTGGCCATGGATGTCAACTATGCTATCATATTGTCTGTTTGGTCTTCATGAAACGGCATATAGTGAGGTAAAATATCTGGCTGTTTTGGAATTTTTGCCCTTGAATTTTTGCCCGTCACATGTCTTGCAAATCCATCTTAATCTGTTTTTTCGTGGGTAAATCACTCAGATGCTACTCGGTTAATTTCTCATATCACCTTTTTTGACTACATTGCTAAATGTTTAATATTTTGAATTCTCTAATATTATAACTATAATCATCTTTCAATACTAGATACTTTCCATATGGGCTGTGAGTGACAGAAAGTATGGCGGCCTTAGCTTCTCATCTGGAGATATTGGCCAGGTTCTTTCAGTGTCAGGTATGGCATCCCTCTGCTTTGACTTTGTTATTTTGAACATTTTGTACTTTTCATGCAACCTGCACAAGAATTTTGGGTGCATATATGGGAAATAATTATGTTTCTCCTTTTGCTGCAGGTGCTAGCCTTCTTGTATATCAGCTTATAATTTATCATTGGGTTAATAAATTTCTCGGGCCACTCAATTCATCGCGCATTGCTTCCGTGAGTTGACTTAACATATTGTGCCTTGATTAGAAATTAATGAAAAAATTGTTTCATGATCATAACTCCTATGTTGACAATGGCCTTGCAGTCTCTATCTATTCTTGTACTCGCTACGTTCCCTTTTATGACATATCTGTCTGGAACAAAACTGTCTTTTGCAATTTATGTTGCAGCCATGACAAAAAGTGTTCTCGGGGTAAGCATCCCGACGCTCTTCCTTTACTGCAATTCTTAAAGGATGATAAGTAGATTAAAGTGTTGGAGACTTTACCATTCCAATTACCACAAAACTGATCACCTTATTATACTCTTACTTGTATTAAGGTGTATCTAATCCTCTCTTCCAAACTTATACAGATAACTATCACTTGTGGAATGTGCCTTCTTCAGAACAATGCAGTGGTATGTATATTAGCTCCGATTAGATGAATTTTTTGCAACACTATCATTTTTTCTGAAATACAATATATACCAGCGTCAAGACCAGAGAGGCACTGCAAATGGTATAGCGACAACCGGCATGTCGTTTTTCAAGGCAGTTGCTCCAGTAGGGGCAGGAATTCTGTGAGTACACCTCACTTTATCAAAAAGATATAAAGTAAACAATTGATACATCAAGCTACTACATTTCTGATCTTACGGGATTTACAATTCGCAATAGCCTGTTGTGCTCTTGAATAAACGAAAGACTTCACATTGTCAATAGATAATTTTACTGAACATGCACTGATCAACGCAGATTCTCATGGGCACAAAAACGTCACGATGCCACCTTCTTCCCAGGTGATTCATTAGGCTATCATTTTGTACAGTACGCTGTACCATAACTAACTAGCAAATTAAGAATATTGGAGAAGATATGCAGGAAGAACTAGAAATGAGTTTCAGATTATGTAGTTGATCCAATTCATTTTCTTGTCAAATCTGCAGGTGATCAAGTGGTGTTCTTGATGCTGATTTTGGTGCAGCTCTGTGGACTGATATCTACCTTCGAGCCATTCCTGGTCTTGCCTCCAGTAGAAGAATGTCGGTAAGACATAGAGGGGAGACCACAATGTACAACTACAATATTCAAAAGTTGCTTGTGAATTCAGTGAGGAGGCCCAAGAACCTACTAGGAATACCCAAGTCAAACACACATGTGACGAGGATCATTGACCGGGTCAACCCCTTTTCATGTGTTAGTAGCGAGTGGTTATTAGAGACAAGAGTGGTTACCCATGTGGGAAATGCTTTCTACACTTGATAGCGGTTCGAACATTTCAAGACTCGAAACGGTACAACTACCCGAACAAGACAATTGAAGGGAGAGCTCTTGGAAAACCTGATACTCTGTATTTTGTATAATTATGTGGCTAGAGTTCCATTTATGGTGTATATGATAAGCTCTTTTTTTAAGGGAATGCCATATGGCAAGCTTTGCTCATTCGATAACTGTGTTACACCGTTTATCTGAACATGAAATATGTTAGAATAAATCCGAGGAATACCGTCGATCATCCGAGGACCAAGCAATCACACGAGCACGACACCGAAATTTGTTAACGAGGTTCACCGATATGGCTACATTCCCGGGGCATGACTATGAACGCTCCTTCCCAAGACACCGTCACAATATCGCACCCCGGCTGCCCGGGCACCGGCACACGCCGCCGGCTCCCCCGCGTGTCCATGCTATTATGTTAGCATAAGTTACATCGTTTGTCTACCCCCGTTATATATGAGAGGCATATGATACAAGTGTCCTACTTGGACACGACTCCTATCCTGTCTACACACAGTCTCAAACCAAGTCCAACTGTAACCTACCTTGTACAATAATATTCGACATAACTCTAACAAACTCCACCTTGGCGAATATTCTCCACCACCTTGGATTCATCCATGCGTCGAACCTCCATGTACATTGGACTTGAGATACGCCATGAGCACCGCTGCTACTCCCAGACTCCACGTGACTCTACCTGCAACTGTAGTCCCTTCTCGTCTTCCTCACAATCAATACTCGAGCAAAATTAAGTTCCTCAATACTCTACGTTGTGCTCCCAACTTCCGGAGAATCCGTTCAATACCATCACACACCGACCACTGTCTGCGTGAAAGTGAACAACTCACATATTGAACGCCACATATAAGAGTTACCTGAACTCAACGTCACTGCTCTTTCTTGACCGTCTGTCTGAAACTTGAAGGAATTTCACCGTCGCCTTGTGTCGCCCTGAATCAAATTCACAGTTGTCTCACCCTTTTTCCGAATAGTCTCTGACATGTCCCACCGCTATAGCACTCAACCTCCTTCTGCCTTGTCATCCGCACTTTGCCATGTGCACTGAACACAACAAAATATATGGCCATGTACTCTCTCAGCTTTTGACAATTTCAGACTTTCCGCCACTTTCTCAGATTCTCCATGGTCAACTCATGTCCATCAACCGGCACCGATAGACCCAGTCACCAACTTGAATCCGGTACTCATCAACATTGCTTCAGCACCCCCTGCACACTTTGTCTAACAACATATCTGACCACCAGTGTCTTGGCCTGTCGCTGTGTCCCGTGCTTACCGCACGCCTCGCCGCTATCACCGTGTCGAGCCTCTGCTGTCTTGGTCGAGTCTCCCGGGTACCTAACCCCCACTGCCTCAACCCCCACTGGAGAGAACCATCGATCATCACCGACCGATGCCGAGTATCACGTCTCCATCAGACCACTGGTACCCAGTCTGAAACCACGTGTCTCTCGCTGTCCCGCTGAAATAGGCTTCGACTCTCCATGCATTTACGCCGTAACCCCCTCATCAGCACAGAGTGTAGTCATCCATCAGACTCCAGCTCCACCTTCAACATGACTCCATGGTAGATGATCAGTCCACCCTCGTGCCCCGTCGACTTCAAGCTCTCTCATGTGTGCATTGCCTTGAATCAAAACCCTGCGCCATAGTCTTGTCGAAGCCGCACAAGCCCTCGGGCCCGCACCATGTCTTTCCACGCCCCAGAAGTCGGCCACCATCAGCATCACGCTCCTATGTCGTCTTCGCTGAAATCACCACCGTCTTCTGCTTTGACCGACATCCCCGTCGATCCGTCAGACAGTCCAGTTCGACCCAGCCGAACTTGTTCGACTGCAACGACACGCTTCAAGGCTCCCAAATCATCTTCCGTGAATTTTCATTCATCACATGATAATTCCATCTTAGGTGACATGACTTCCCGCAACGCCTTCAAGCATCCTTGTTGTGCCAACAATCTTTCACCCATGTCTGTCATAACCCAAGATTTTCAGTTCCATTGAACTTCTCCACCTCAAACCCGATGCCCGATGGCGTCATGATTCTTCGTACAGTTGACCTTGTAAAAAATAACCGAGCTTCTTTCCACATGCCAAAGTACATAAGCAAACCTAACTTGGTCACCTCCTCGTACTAGTAGCAATTCAACCAAAAACTTTTGATCTTCACGTGTAGTTGCTCTATTTCAACTCCCGATGCTGTTGTTGCTTTGCCATGTGCGTGCTTTCCGATGTATACGTATCAACCAATGGATTTCATCTGCTGATTTGATCTGTTGCCTCCGTCCGTGTCATACATGCCTCTCCCGTACGCCTCAACTCCACATGTGCTTCCAGGCCCACATGGCCACTACACGTCCCCCCCCCCTCCCCCGCGTAGCTCTATCGATCGTTCTCACCAATCGTCCGAGACCTCCGAATGACT